TATATATATATATCTCATATTCTTCTAAACGGAATTACTTGGTTGGTGTGTTTTTGACTAAACTCTGGTTTAAAATCTTTGAATTTAATGTGTGATACAGAACAACCGTGATAACTGAAATATTCAATTAAATTTGATTAGCAGCTTTCCAGTGCACAGAGGAGGTTTGGGCCTCCAAATCTGAAGATGATGTTTGTCTGCGGCCAATGCTGGAGAAATGGCCAACTCAGCGAAGCTGACAAAAACAAGAAGTATTGCTCAGCCAAGGCAAGACACACGTGAGTATTACATGTGTGAGTTGTGGACAGCAGCTGAAGTGATCATTCCAACGCATGACCACAAACTCTCTTTCTATCTTTCTGTCTTAGGTGGGCAAAAGACAGACGGGTGGTGCTTGTAAGTTCCCATGAAAGGAAAAAGTGGACAACGGTTAGACCACTTCCAACCAAAAAACCCATCCCATCTCAATTTGAGGTAAACGTCTTTTCTAGTTGTTTATTTTTTGTTTCTCATTAAAACAACACTCCAGCTTTTTTTTTTTTTTTAACCAAACATTGTTTTTCTGTCTCAGATTTGCATGCATGTGACAGCTGGCAAGAAGTGTCAGTACATTGGGAATTGCACGTTTGCCCACAGCATAGAAGAAAGAGACCTTTGGACCTACATGAAGGAAAACAACAGTGAGTTTGGTCAAGGAATTGGCTCTCTTTTCTTGGTAGAATTCAATTAGTACAATTCAGTTAGTATGTGATGCACCAAAAATAATCACACTAATTTTATCCCCTCATTTAGTTCCAGATATGGACCAGCTTTATGAGCAGTGGCTGCAGTCTCAGAAGCCTGGCTGGGGTGAAGAGTCCTCCAGTAACTCTGTTAGGGAGAACGGCAAACAGATCCACATGCCAACAGACTACGCTGAAGAAGTGGTGAGTTTAAATGTCCAGTAAATATGACACAATGCTATTGTCCGGTGATAAACACAAAGTTACTGGTCAGTAGAATTCAGTTGTATTGAATTGCTTAAATTGTGACACATTAGCAGCTGTATTGTATTTCCTTTTTACTTTCTCCTGGTAGATTATCATTTAGCTGTCAGAATCTGTCCATGCAGTAAAAACTATTGGCGCCTAATGGTTAAATTGTGTGAACATTTTGATAGAATCTAGTTTTAATGTAGTTATGTGCCAAGTGATTAGAATAAACAGCGATACATTTGAATGATTAAGAAGCGGACAGTAATTAGTCATCTGTGTAAAATGAGATTTCTCTTGTTTTTGCAGGCTGGCAATCACTGTTGGCTGTGTGGCAAAAACTGCAACAGTGAGAAACAGTGGCAGCAGCACATCACTTCAGAAAAACACAAAGACAGAGTTTTCAACTCTGAGGATGATCAGAACTGCTGGCAGTATCGATTTCCCACAGGCACTTTCAAAGTTTGTGAGAGGTGAGATTATCGGCCACAGACGACGGCGCGTCTCGAGTTACCAGTCTGATTCCAGTAGTTTTTGATGGTTGACATTTGATCTTGTGTTCTGACAGGTTCCTCAAAGGCACATGCACAGAGGATGACCTGTGTAAGCTGGCACACGGGACACAGGAACTAAAAGAGTGGATGGAGCGCAGGGAATTCCTTTTGATGAAACTTGCCAAAGCCAAAAAAGACCATCTTATAGCACCAAATGACAATGACTTTGGAAAATACAGTTTTCTGCTTAAAGACATTATTTAATGATGTGATGACAATATTCACGCTCTCTTGCAAATAATGCAGTATTCAAACAGTCTTGAGTCAGGTGATCCTTGAAGGGCCTCTGAGGTGCACGGGAAATAGCCTGATCACAGCATGATTTTAAAGATGACGTTCGGGACCGGCCCTCTGATTGGTGGCTGGTTTAGTCTGATCTGAACTATAGGAAGTATTGTCGTTAACAGCGAATACTGAGTGTAAGACACTCGAAGCTTTGCTATGCATCATTCAGTAGAATATCTGAAAATGGTGATGAAAATAGCATGTGTAAACCTTGATCAGAGACGTGTTCTTTCATTTGACCTAAACAAAGTAATTTCTTTTCATAAGCAGTTTGTATATGTTAATGACATTTACCATTCAATAAGTTTAAAGTATTGAATACTTAAATTGAGAGTTCAGTTGACATTCTCACTTTCCATTTATCTAATAGTGTTACCAGTGTAATGGGCACCACACCAAATAAAGCCTCTTTTTTAATGTGTTTAAACTGCTGTGTGTTTTATTAATTACACATGGAGCTTTTGTGATATTCTGTCCTTGGAAAAACAGGTTTAGGTCGGATCTAACAGTCTCAATTTGTCAGTGCGATACACATGAATATTTAAATTCAGTGTTCACTAGAGAAAATAAGGTACTTGAAAATCTGGCATCTTTATTGAATATTTGTAAAACCATCTGGCATCTTATATTCAAATGAATACCAAATTATTACAAAACATTACGCTAGTGGTACAATCTGACATGACATTTCCAAAGATAAGTTAATGATACAAGATGCCCCCGTACCTGGGTGTTATTCTCCTCCTGCAGAATAATTATTTAAAGGAGGATGGTTGGTAAGGTTATTCCTTTAAACTTGTGTGTTTTAGCTGTATGTTGGCAATTATCCTCCAGAAGTGCACTTCAGGTACATGTTTATTACACCGTAAAACCTCAGAACATAGAAATATAAATCCAGCATCAGTCCTACATCTCTACTTCTTCTCTGTAAGACTGACTTCCTTGGAGTAGGAGCCATGTGAGAAATAACTTAAATTATTTAACTGTGTCACAGGTCACACTGTAAATACTGCTTTCTCATGTCATGTCATGTCTTTGTCACTCTTGCATCACACCTCCCAGTCAGTATCCTGACATCTTAGAAGACTGTGCCGTCCAGTCCTGTGCCATAGTTTGTTTGTTTTTTCCTCCATTTGTCAAGAATCCCTTAAATGCTGCCTATCCAGCTGGACACGCATGACAGGAGCAGGTCGTACTGCCACCAGGGAAGGTGGAATTTCCACCAACAGCTCTGCATTCAGGCCAGCACCTGCTGCAGGTCCTCCACCTCCAGCTTCCACATCCGCCTGTGAAGCACGGCGAGCTCGGAGAGGTCTGCCATCTTCACTGCACGGATGACTGGCTCCGGGGAGACGGCCTGGATGACACCCATCACCATGACATATTTGCCTGTAAGAAAAAAAAAAAAAACTGCAGCAGGTGGTCAATTGTTCAGTGACAATAGATTCAAGGAAACAAGGACGGTGATACGGGGAAGGTGTGGCTGGTTTTCAGATAAAGATATTCATGTGTGGTTGTTGTTGTTTTGAAGCCAAATGTTCCTGCTTTAGGGACAATTTGCTGTAGGAGACTTGCATGTAAATAAACCTGGAACAGACTGCACTGTGGTTTGAGAGTCAGTCAGTCATTTTTCAAGAAAGAAATCCCAAATATTCTCTGGTTCCAACTTCTAATTTGGTAAATTATTTCTGAGAATTAGCTTTTTTTTTTTTGTTTGGTTCAATTAATTAAATTGAATATCTGAGTTTTGGACTGTTTGTTGGACGAAACAAGCTATCTGAAGACGTGAAGTTGACACTGGGATGGACATATTTCAGTTCTCAAAACATTTTATAACTAAAATAATTGGCAGACTAATCAATAATGAAAAGAATTAGTTGCGGCCCTGTTATTCACAAACAATGAAACCATCAGAGACCATCTGACATACTGAGCCTCTCTGGGCCCCTGGGGGTCTTGGGCCCTGGGGCAGTTGCTCGCCTTGCTGGGTTTACAAGTACAGCAGTTTTTATTTGTTTATTATTTATTTCCAGGCCTGAGTCTGTGTGTTTCTGTAGATCAGGGAAACACAGGTATACCACACCTGCAGCATAAACACTCTCAACATGACTTCAGCCAATCAGAAACCAACTTCAGTCTGCTTTATTTACCTTGGGACAAACATGGCTTCCCTTTGGGGATGTTGTTGACACCTTGAACAGCAAAGGTCCCCGTCTCGTCCATCAGCAGCACGGTGTTCCTGTCCAACTGGACCTCCAGTACCGTTCCCTGCATCCACACCAGTGAGACCGGCAGAGAGCGACCCCTGCCCAGCCTGATAACACACCCTTCCCCGCTGTCGGTGCTCCCACAGTCCTCCGCCGTCCTCAGCTGACCGGACAGCACTTTAACGGGCGGCGGGCGTTTCCTCTCTACGGTTGTGTTCAATGTTTTGGACATTACAGACTGCCGCTGTCCTCCGGCGGTGGTCCGAAGGATGGGAAAGTTTGTATTACACGCGTCCCGCCAAGTAAAATGTTATGCCGGAAGTTGTGGGCGTTTTTTTTCTGCCAGCAACAACTTCCGTTCCGGTCCGCAATCCTTCAGAGTAAAAGCATCACCTGAACGCTCTGAAAGTGGAATGTATCTAATTACATTTACTCAAGTACTGTAGCAAGTACTCAGCCATATCAGAAACAAATACTGTACCTTTTACTCCATTACATTTATCTGTTAGCTTTAATTACAAGCTACTTTTCAGATTACATGTTTTAATACCCTCCCTGTCCAGTGAAAACTGTATCTCCTGATTTTTTTTTAATAAAGAAAAGGATTGGACACTTAATCCTTCTTAATGGGTTGAAAAAAATCTCCTACTTTGTAAATTAAATAAGCTGTATGAAATCCCCCTTCAGTTAACATACATACACACATTGTCAAAAAGCTAAACACAGGGATAGTGGTTCTCCAGGACCCAACAGAATATAAATTAGTTAAAATTTGCACAACCATAAACCTCTACAGCAATAAAACGCAACATACAAATGAATGCAGAATTAATATTAATCCAAAAACATCATATATAACACTGACAGTGGTCATTTTTCTGCATAATGAGTACTTCTACTTTTG